CATCGTATACAAGTATTCACAAAATTATTGTATTACAATTTGTTTGGTCGATTCAACAAGTAATAAGCATAGATTTATTTCGTTAGAATTTATTTTACAGGATATACTACTCGATTTCCAGTGGATTTTTAATTACTTCTGCATTTCTACAGTAAATTCGTTTTACAGAATATATTAATCTTTCTTTCAGAAATATGATAAATGTGAAACTCTCTGCCATAGATTTTTATATCTGCACTTTTAGGAGGTCTCTTACTATAATTCACAGGTGTGTTTGTTGGCTTATAACTTTGCCAAGCAAAAGGAACAATTTACTTCCATAAGAGTCTTGGTTATTATGAATAGTAAGTAAAATTAATCATTATGTTCTAGGGTCGAGTAAATCTAAAAAATCCAGATCACAAGTTTTGGCTTATGGAGACTGATGACTATGGACTTAACAATGGGCTTCCCCCGGTTAGCCAAAGGAGAATATTTTTTGGTCGGGAGGTTGGTGGTGCTGATAGAAAGCTTATACCGACTTATCAGTTGAAAAGTCGCACTTATCTTGGCCCAACTGCCATGGATGCAGAAATAGCTTTCTTGATGGCGAATCAAGCACATGCTGCACCTGGGAAACTTGTCTATGACCCATTTGTGGGCACTGGGAGCATTCTTGTTTCTGCAGCTCATTTCGGAGCCATGACAATGGTTTGCACTTTGTGTCTCCATGTTTGCTTTATGTTGACCTCTATAACAGTTTTCTATTTTTAGAAACTCATGAAACCATTCATACGTTATGAGCTTCTTGTGATATAAACTAATGTGAATATTCAGGGTGCAGATATTGACATTAGGGTTGTCCGTGATGGGCGAGGTCCTAACTGTAATGTTTGGAGCAACTTCAAGCAGGTGAGCTGGCTTTATGCTAACAAATTCTGAAACTGATATCCTTGTGTATCAATGAGATATCTCAAGTGGCATTTATTAGTTTTCAACGTATCCAAGTGAATCTACTAGTCAAATAAAAATTCCACATGTATATGTTACGTTTCTGTTGCGTGCATACTCATGTCCATCATGATTACATGGATTAGATACTGATGCTGATGGGTTTTGGTTGGAAGTATATGTGCTTCTGAGCTCTATATTTATGGAAATTATAGTGGAATTATTTGCTGATTTGAAGTTACAACATATCCCTGATAGAAGATTACCTCCTTTGGTTTGGAAAAACAAAAAGTAGTTTACGGCATAACTCAGATTGATACTTACTCATACATGCTTCTTCTCTCAGTATGGGTTACCAATGCCAATTGGACTGCTACGAGCAGATAATAACCTTCCTCCCTGGCGTCCTGGATTGAAAGAGGTAATAGAATCTCTACAATACTTCCTGTTTGTGCTGGAACAATTAGATAATCCGTTTTTGCTCTCTTCTTTCTAGATTTCTAGAATTGCAGTATGCAGGTCTTGAAATTCTTTTCAAATTGGTATCTAGGCTTTATGAGCCAATAAATGTTTCTTACTATCTTGCTCTTTTTTGTTGAATCACACTTTTTCCTAATTTTTGACACAACATGAGTGGAAAAGCAGCATAATATGATTAGCTAAGACACATATTTTTCCTCCTTTTGAGATATGGTATATCTGAAATTATGAAAGGATTTAATATGTCCATAATGTACATCAAGCGTTGTGTGCTAAGTTCAGCCAAGAAAAAAGTTGTGTGCCTTCAGCAAAAAAAAGTTGCGTGCCTTATAGAGATGAATATTTTCCCACAAGTTCGATATGATTTTCTTATTATCTGGAGAAAGAGGATACTCGCATTAAGGAATATGGTTTTGCTGGAAAATGATTTTTGCTAAAGTAAATGAGTTCTCAAAGTAGCCAAAGGAGTTAGCTGGATTGAGAAACTGATTCAAACAGACCAAAAAGAACCCAGGAAATGATTTTTTTAATTATTTATTATTTATTATTTTTCTTTTTCAGTGTTCATCTGGAATTTGTTAGATTTTTGGTTATCAGCTCTGTCTGTTTTTGAACTATGGTTTTACAGAGTGGATTTATTCACCTGCCTACATTTTGATGGTGATGCAAACTAGTGTAGTGTCTCACATGCAATCAAACTTCAGATGGTCTTAGATAATATTATAATCATATTAAGCTGTATTCTTTTCGCTAACAATATAAAAAATTGTATTTGATAGAATATATAAAAGGTAAAGTTTTTTCCCACCCCCCCAAAGAAAAAGAATGATCAAGTTAGGCCCTCTTCAACTGTACTTAAATTTGGGATGATTAACCTAATTGCTTGGTAAAGTATTAGAATCTGATTTTAAAAATATGGAAGTCTTTTGCTGTTTTGTTTCTATTTAAAATGATATATTTCAGAATAAGATACAACAGAATATTTTGTTCACATTTGTAATCCAATATGCATGTTGAGGGGAAATGTTAGGATACAGAAACAATTAATTTGGATTATTTTCTAGTGGCTTAAACTTCTAAGTAATTCATATAATCTAATTATTTAGCCAATAAGCTTTGCCCGTGTCTCTCTCTCTAATAAGATGGCACAGCTTTAGTCTGTAGAGACAGCCACCGACCACCACAATCTATCTATGATTTATGTCGTTCGAAATCTTGTCTCTCTATATCTCTTTCCTGGTACTTCTTTTACTACATTGAAAAAATTTTGTTGCAAAACGGACAATATTCATCCTACACCTCCTTGGAGTGAGTTAGAAATCATTATTCTTTACCAAAAGTCCATCTTTTCCCATAGAAGAAGAAATAACAGAGATCCTACTCGGGTGGACTGCCCAGGACTCATGGACTTTTACCTCCAGTTGTATGCTGTTCCTCAATGATTTTATTTGTCCCGTCTCTTTGTTTACCTCTTCTTTTTTTTTTTTTCTATTAGGTGTTTGATGCCATAATCTGTGATCCTCCTTATGGTGTTCGTGCTGGTGGACGTAAATCTGGGGGCCGAAAATTGCTCAAGGGGGTGGTTGACCCATACATTGTTCCTGATGATAAGAGGACAGACCACATACCATCGACAGCACCTTACAGCTTAGTAGAATGCGTGCACGATTTGCTGGACCTTGCTGCTAAGATGCTTGTGAAGGGTGGCAGGCTTGTCTTCTTCTATCCTGTACTAAGAGAAGATGATTTTCCAGAGAACCATTTTCCTGAGCACCCTTGCTTTCAATTAGTTGCATCTTCTGAACAAATCCTAAGTTCCCGTTACAGTCGGGTTTTACTGACAATGATTAAGATAGGACCATACACCAAGGAAATTGAAGAGGCAGCAAGGCTAAAGCATATGGAGTTCAGAGAGAATCATGTCAAGTGGTTAGAAGATGGTAATATTCACTCTTCTGTCTTTACTCCTCCTGATTCTCAGCTTACTGCAGATTCCAACAACTGCAAGGAACCAAAGCCAAAGTATAGAGGGAAATATGTCTAAAGTCTAAGGTTGGGCAATTGTACCATTTTACCTGATTAGCCATTCATCATTAGGAATTCTATTTGCTAATGGAAGTGCATAACTTAACCTTAATGTGGTCTGTAAGTTCTCAATTGTTTGAGTAGAGATACCCAGCAGGCTAGGAATATTTTTGTTTGTAACTCTAAGATGAAGGTTATGAACATTTTTATTTGTTTTATATAAAGTCTTTTTTTTCTTTACTTCATTAAGTCATTGAAGTAGCATTGCAAAGCTTTAAAGTATGTATTGAGATACATCAAGAGTGCCTCTGCTGATGTTCTGTTTAGTGATGGTATGTAAGAGATAAGATCCTGAAACTTAAATCATCCTCTAATTCTTTGATTAAAATAGAAAACAGAACGGTGTTGAAAACAGGTCATAATATTTGAACCTAAGCTGGCACTTTCATGGGTTAAAAGATTAGAACTAAATTATTGGAAAGAGTCAGTTTCCATTTAAGTTGGGAGTTTTTTAGGCTCTATAATTTTCTATTCTAATTTAAATCTTATTTTATTTGAATTATAATCACTATCCCTCTTATGTATTACCCAAAAACATATGAATAATAAAACCATCACAGAATTTCAAAACAAGATTTTTGTTATAGTTAAATAATTATAGTAATTTTAGAGGGGAAAAAAACATTGGCAATGGATGGTAAACCATGAAGGGTTAATTAATTAAGTTTAATAATTTGCTTAATATAATATAAGTAAGTATTCTAATTATAGAGTGAATGAGAAATGGAAGCGGATAATAATTATCTTAGGAGGTCTGAAAGGGTCAAAGATGAAAACTAAGAATGTCTACGGTACAGCCAAATTGAGCTTGACAAGCAGTAGGCAGCCAGGGCGATTGAATTTTCCTGCGTTTGCGGGCAGCGCATGGTTGATTGATCAGAACAAAACACACTCAAAAAAACACAGAAGAGAGGGAAAACACACATCGAAAATCAGAAGAGAAAGGAGAGAAAATTTCACCTCTTCTTTCCCTTCTACTTCCTCTCACCATTAACCTTTTTTTTTTCTTCAACTAGGAACAAACAAACAGACCCACTTACAATTTCTTTTCAAAAACAATATATATACATATATACACATATTTGTATTGATTTATTGCCAGATTACATTATATACAATAATAAGTTGGAGCCGCAGGTAAGCATCTTATCTCCTTTTGATATATAGATATATATATATATATATATGTGTGTGTGTGTGTGTGTGTATATATACATGTTATCCTTAATAGAGAAAAGAGTTTATTTATTTGTGTAGGTGATAAGAATTAGCTAAAGTCAAACATGGCTCCAAGCACGATCAGGAGAGCCCTTGGGGCAGTGAAGGATCAAACCAGCATTGGGCTTGCAAAAGTGGGTAACAGCGCCTCAATCTCAGACCTTGATGTGGCCATTGTTAACGCAACCAGACACGAAGAATACCCAGCTGAAGAAAAATACATTAGAGAAATCCTAAGCTTAATCTCCTACTCCCGAGCCTACATTAGCGCCTGTGTCAACACCCTCTCCAGACGCCTAAACAAGACCAAGAACTGGACGGTGGCCTTAAAGACGCTCATACTCATCCAGCGCCTGCTTTCTGAAGGTGATCCAACATACGAGCAGGAGATTTTCTTTTCAACACGGCGTGGGACTCGGATGCTCAACATGTCCGATTTCCGTGATGCTTCGCGATCGAATTCATGGGATTATTCCGCGTTCGTGAGAACATACGCACTGTATCTGGACGAGAGGCTGGAGTTTAGGATGCAAGGTAGGCGGAAACGGAGCGTGTATGGGATGGATGAAGAAGAGGAGGAAGCTACTGCAAGATCAACGCCAATCCGTGATATGAAGACTGAACATATTTTTTCAAGGGTGCAGCATTTGCAGCAGCTTCTTGAACGCTTTTTAGCTTGTCGACCAACAGGTTTGTCTTACTAAATATTTGATTCTAAACATTTCAAAGTTTTTCAAGTCTAAATCAAAATTTCGATTGAATCTTTTTTGAGTATTTACAAATACAACAATAAACACAATAGAAATAAATTTTAGACGAACACATACAAGAAAAAATAGTTTGAATCAAATATATGACCTTTTATAGAAAAGAAAATATAATAACCGTTCAGCTAACATACAGTTGCTAATCAAAATTCTATTTTTAATTCGAGGGAGAAATGATAATTTTCAAACGTGACCGTGGTTCTCTTACATGTGCCTATATATATATATATATATATATATATTTACCATTTATTGTTTAGAACTGTTGGGCTTTTTCTTCTTCCATAAGAAGTGGAAGAAAAAATTGTGGTTTGGAACTATATCTTTTCATGTACTTCTGATACAAAGTTATTTTATAGAAAGTTACGTCATGATTAATGTATGTATTACTTAATTTTTAATTAATAAATATATATATTAATTTAATAAATGTATACGTAGAGTACATGCTGATATTGGGTTGAACAGGTTGTGCGAAGAACAATAGGGTGGTGATTGTGGCTCTATACCCAATTGTGAAGGAAAGTTTCAACATATACTACGACATTACAGAAATACTTGGCATCTTAATAGATCGTTTCATGGAGCTTGAGATCCCGGACTCCGTCAAGGTTTACGAAATCTTCTGCCGCGTCTCTAAGCAGTTCGATGAACTTGACATTTTCTACGGCTGGTGCAAGACCATGGGCATAGCCCGCTCCTCCGAGTACCCTGAAGTCGAGAAGATAACCCAGAAGAAGATCGACCTCATGGACGAGTTTATTCGAGACAAGTCTGCTTTAGCCCAAAGCAAGAGAATAAAAAACCCAGCTGACCAGAAAAAGGAGATATCAACTGAAAAGCAAGAGGTTGATGAAGACCAGGAAGTCAAAGAAGATATGAACGCCATTAAAGCGCTACCGCCACCCGAGGGTTTTGAAGCTCCAGAGGAATTAAAACCAGAGCCCGTCAGAGAACCCAACAAAGATTTGAAACAAGAGGCTGATTTGTTGAACTTGGGAGAAGATGCAATGACATGCCAACAACATGAAGACAACTTGGCTTTGGCTTTATTCGACGGCGGTGTACCACCAGCAACAGTCTCTGCAACAACAACTTCAGCTTGGGAAGCCTTCAACGACGATGGAGCAGATTGGGAGACCGCACTGGTTGAATCCGCCAGTCATTTATCCAACCAGAAAAACTCACTTCCGGGCGGTTTCGACATGTTAATGCTCGACGGAATGTACCAACAAGGCATTATGTCTAATGCAATGATCGCGGCTACTGGTTCGGGAGCAAGCGGGAGTAAAAGCAGTATGGTAATGGTACGGCCTTCGATGCTAGCATTGCCGGCGCCGCCGACGTCAAGCGGACATAAGGGAGGAGGAATAAACTCGGACCCATTTGCGGCGTCGTTGGCGGTGGCGCCGCCATCCTATGTGCAAATGTCGGATATGGATAAGAAGCAGAGGTTGCTGACGGAAGAACAAGTAATGTGGCAACAGTATGCGAGAGATGGAATGCAAGGACAAGTTGGGTTGAGCAAGATACAACAACCACAGAATTATAATATGGGAATGGGAGGTTATGTGCCGCGCTATTGATTGGAAATGGACCTTGTATAGGGATTCTTTGTGTTTAGTGTAATGTTTTTTTGGGAGCTACATACAGTCTCCATCAGAAACTTTTAGTGTGTATAAATTATATAAGCAGAATGGAATGAAAGGAGAAGAAAACACATGCATGCCATGCCATGCCTATGGTCATGAGAAAATTCATATGATAATCTCAACTATTTTTAAATTTTTACTAAATACCAATTAGAATTTTCAAGAAAATGCTAGTAACAATATAACTTTTATGAGAAAATTTAGAATTCCAATGTATACCTTTATAAAAAGAGATAAATGTAATAAATATTTAGTTAATAATTAAAATTTAATTAACTCCGTAATATTAATTTACTAGTAGTAAAGATAGTTATACTAAAATTTATAATTTTTTTTACTTTTATATATTTTCAATAAAATTATTAATCTTTTTTAGAACTCGTGTAAAACATAGGAACCAAAGTTTCAATAGAGAATCTATTTGGATTGTTTGTTCGGATTTTTGAATTTTACGATATATTAGTTACTTGTTTTTACACTGCAATTATTCGCTTGTTTTCTATTTTCATGTTTATATTAGTTTCTTCATAGTCTTTTCTTTTTTTTTTGGGGAAACATAATATGGAAAGGAAGATTACAACCCTATTTTCCTCATCTCCTCTCAATTTCTTTCTCTTCTCTCCCAACCTCAAATTTCTTCTCCTAATCAGATATAGGATCAAAGTGCCATCAGAATGGGAAGTTTGTAAAAAAATGGGAGATTAAAAATATACTGCAAATAGTGAATTGAAGGTCAATTTCAGAATAATGAAATATAATTACATAAACATCATTTTAAAATTAAAAATACAAACCAAACTACCTTCCTCCTATCCATGCATACACCAAGGAAGCAATTTGGGTTTTACAATTGGCTTGATTATGAACTTAATTTCATCTAAGATTGTTTTGAATCATAAGTCTTAACAGTAGAATTAAGTGGATCTTTTTAACTGATGAATGAGTTTGCACCAAATTTTATTGGCCATTAATATATCACGTGATTGGAGAAAAGTGCTGTACAATGGAAGATCAGCACACTCATTGAAGTAGACCACCTAAATGAATAAATAAAAGCTGATTAAAGCTAGAGCTGTTGAAGATTTTACAAAGACAAATTATCCATGCATAGATAAACCAGTGAAATAGTTATGATCCAGCGGGTTAACCAGGAACCAGAGGAGTTCTGCAAGCCAGGAGAAATGTCAGGACCCATGTGACACATAAGAGCTCAAGTGTCAATAGAGAAACTGCTTTGAGTTGTTTGTTTGAATTCCTGAATTTATGACTTACTAAATCTAGGGTGAGTTATTTTCTGGTTTGAACCGGAAAACCAGACTCAACTTTTTGGTGCAGACTGAATTTGGACCTCGGTCGAGGATATTTTGGATCGAAAATCCAATCTATACCGGTTCAAACAGAATTTTTATGTTAATAATATATATATACACACACACACTACAAAATTAACATTTATATAAACATATATATATATATATATATCCACACAACCCGCAAAAACACACATGGATGTTGCAGTATATTTATGTTTATATACATATATACGCACGCGGCTTTGCAGTGTGTACATATATATATATATATATGTATATATATATCCTATTGTATAACATATCTCCTCATAATTTACATAGAGAAACTAAGGCAAATTAATAAACAAATTTCATAAATTTAAAAGTGTTACTTACATAACAAATTTAAAAGAATTTTTAAAAGTGTTTTTGTTTTTTAAGTATTGAAGGATGCACAGGTACGTCTGATCCCTCCAGCCGATCCAGTTTTAATATCGATGACACCCATCTTTATGATCGATTCAACAAAATCGGCCTCAAACGATGGGCCTAGAAATGGGCTTAGAGGCCCAAAGTAAGAGTCGATAACACTTCTCGTTGAAACGTCGTCGTATAATCTAGCGTCAGATTCAAGAACCGCAAATCCATCCCTGATGTTCTGTAGAATCTGTTTATCAAACGTCCGTTCGCTGCCGCGATCGATGGGTAGCCGGACGTTAACGTTGCCGTCTCGAGGACACGTGGCCTTTAACTCTGGTAAGAAACTGGGGTTGATTTGTGGATCAGATCCAGTGGAACTCAGAGCGAAATTGTAAGCCGGTTGGTCATGAAAAAGCATGCTGTGGTTCCAATGGTATGCGCAGCTGATGCAATCGGAAGAACAATTAATTTTAATTTAATTTAAAACGTAAATAAATTATATTATGATTGCATCGAATAAATCAGATTAATATTTTATTTATTTTATGTACGTCTCATAAATGGGTGTGACTAAAACTGTGCCACCTGCCACTGATAATGGTGAGGGCATTTGGTCATAAAATTAATTAGTTCATAATAAATATAATTTAATTTCCATGGAAATTATATAGTTTTGGTGGTGTATACGGGAGAGGCCATTCCGCAAGTCATTTTCAATAAAATAAATAAAGAAACTGAAAAAACAGCACATGGTTTCCTCTTTTTGTTTTGAAGAAGTAGGACACGGTTTCTTTACTCCACTTGATCCAACCCCCCCTAACCAATGTGTTTTATTATTTAATAAATCATATGGTTCTTTTGTTTTGTTGTTGAATTTTATGATAAATAATCATATAAATATCATGTCCTTTTTCTAAAACACGCAATTAAATTTTTTAATTAATACATATTGATAATTTGGAATTTAGAGTTAATTAATGAATTGAGAGAAGGATATATGTATATGTGCACATATGTACGCGTTAAAGATTCATATGAGATGGGGTTTGTACCGGCCTTGACATCACTACAAATGCATGAGAGAGAGAGAGAGAGAGAGAGTTATTGTGTATGTTACCAGAGAGAAGAACCAGGTCTTTGTCTGAAAGGCCTTTGCGCAGAAACTTGGCTTTCAATTGCTGTATTGAGTCACCCACATCCGGCATATCGTCTGCCAGTGATACACTCGATACTCTTCCATCTCTCCTCCCTGTCGGAACCTGATATTCAGGTCCTTGCGCCTGCACGTACGTATATGTCAGCTGGTGATCACACAGGTTAATTTAAGGTACATGCAAGAGAGGTATGTCATTAATATTATAATTATAAACATAATTAACATACATTGTGAAGCAAAAGACATTTTACCAAATTTCCTACAAATATGTATTATTATATATATAAAAGATGTATACCAAAGCTACGGCATCTCGAGCAGCCAAGGCTACTATGTCTGCACAAGAAACAACTCCTGGACATACAGCTTCTAACTCAGCTTTGGCTCTCTCTATCACTTCAAACCCTCCAACTCCTTGGTGGCCAAAGGCATGTCTCTCCGCATTTGTTCCATTCTCAATCAGAATCGACCCATCACATCCCTATTAATATATGTATGTGTATGTGTATAATCAATTCAACAATAATTTTACACCAAAATGAAACATACATACACATATATATGTGTGAAGAGGGAGGAGACCTGGACAAAGCAGTCATGGAAATGGAGCCTGAGCAAGACGGCAGGCATGTTAGGGTTAGAGACCGCAGCATCTGAAACAACTCTGGTGATTATTGACTCAGCGTCAGGGCAAGTCTGGGAATAAAATCCGATTTGAACTTGGCTCTCACATATCTGCACAAACAGGATAATCAACAAGAAGCTCAAAACCATAGCCATTGATGCTCTGAACATCAACAACTTTTTTTTTTTTTTTTTAAAGGAAAAAGAAAATAGACAAGAGAATGAAGGGGGTAGAGGTATTAGGTACTAATTATGTAAGAGAAATATATATATACACATAAATACAGCAGGTTATAAGCTGACAGCTTTGAGGATGGGACAGCAATGTGTCAACTAAGCTGCATGCCTCTTTTGTCATCTAGCTAGCTGGGTCGTGTAATTAATTTCTTCTATCGCCTACGGCTGATATAGTTCTGGACTTTTTTTTTTTTTTTTTTGTTATATATATTTTTTTTCCAATTAAGATTTTTTTCTTAATTTTCTTTAAAAAAATTTCGGACCTTGCACGTGCACATCTACTTAATCTTGATGTGTTTTCATTGTGTTTGATCTGTAAAGGCAAAAATCATAATTCTTGCGAGAAATTTGTGTGGAGTTTATTTCTTCTACACATATAGACATTTCCGATTTTCTTACTCTTTCCTTTTGCTCAGCGAAAATCGTATATATATAAATTTGAAAGAAAACTACACACAAATTTCTAGGGAGTATACTTGAAAATTAACAGAGGAGACTGAGAGATTATCTACTTCAAAGGTGATAGTCAACTTGCTTTTGGCTTTTCTTTCTAAGAGGTGGTTTGTGTTAAATAGAGTCACGTGCTCTTCTGACAGAGAAATGCAAACTGGGGAAGAGCGCAGGATGATGATATTTATCCTAATCACATCCTTTACTCTCAGTTTGAAACCTGAAAGAGCCGGTGGCTAGAGACTATCTGACGTACATGTTCACCTCATAACACGCCTCCATGCCCACTTATTTTATTTCCACAAGTCAACATCGTCATCTTCATCGAGAAAGGATCCATGGCCATCAAGTGACTCCATCCATACCTACACATATAAATACGAACATACACTATAAAAGTTTTGATTGGAATGAGTTGACTTTATTTTTTTTAAAAAAATGACTCTCGTCGAAATTTTGTATCTCCACTTACATTTTCTTATAAGCGTTGAAATTTAAGAGCACGATGTTAGTTAGCGTCGACATAGAACTGACATGGGCATCTCGACCTTCCAGTGTTTCAAATGCAGTTCTAGTCTGATGAATTCCTCAAAACTTATAGAATATTTTTGTAAAATCTTAATTTTTATACTTGAAATTATTCTAAATGTAAATAATCTGTTCGAAATAAATTCCAGATAAAATTGGATCAATGTCTTTTCAAATTCATTAGACATGATGGAATTTAGAAATATACATATTATGGCAGTTCAAGAAAAAAGTATATGAACCGTAAACATATTTTGAAATACAAGTAGGATTGCCAGCATACCACTAGGCTAAAAATTCTATACCAAAGAACAAACTGAATTCCACAAGTTATTTTTGAAATTCATAATTTAGTTCAAATTGAAGAAATTATTTACAAATGCATTCCTTATAAAATGTGTTATTTGATACGGAATAGGTGCTAATTGGAATACTCTATCTTTTGATAGTATAAATTTCTAAACAAATGGCTGGGCCAAAAGCAGGGGACCAAATGTGCAGTAATTTACCAAATACACTACCTCGCACATGATACAGGCTCATCAGGCTCCTAAAACACAATTTTCCAAGTTCAACGATACTTGTTCAGCTTGCTTCCTTGTTGAGACACCCAAACTCATCCCAACACAAACCAAAGTTTCCAACGATCTGGCACTATTAGCCAGGAGATCCTCATCAATCTGGATAGCGTCCTGCATAACACCGAAAGGGAGTTCCCAATTTACACTCAAAAGTGGAATAAGATACTGGTTACCCACTGGAACTGAATGCCTAATTACCATTAAGTTTGTTCTACGATAATTCAAGCCATGTGCATATAAGACCTATCAAATCTATTCAAATATAACAACCTCAAGGAAGAGGCTGATTCATCAATAAAATGAGACTTAATATATGCATTGGCAGCAAGAAGTAAATCAGGAAAAAGCCTCAATTCATGTTTGTAGAAACAAGGTGCTGACTACTGGCCATTGAGCCAGAGAATCCCCCTGCTTCCTTTACCCGGAGAAGAGCGGTTCAAGCCTTTTGGTCCTCATTGGGATTTATTCCCTCCTGTGGCTTTGACTATACACCCGTTCAATGAGCTAAAGATAGAATAAAAAAAGGGAAAAATATAATACTTCTCCTTCCCAACGCATTTGAATAGCTGATACCAACCTTTTCAAAGATGCAAATCACTGTGCTCCCACCAAACGAGAAATACCCGAACTGTAGATATGAAGATGAAGATACAAATCAAAGACAAGATAGGACAATTAACATATGCATAAACATAAAACGAGATGGATTTGCAAAATGCTAACCTCATCGCCCTTTCTCACATGGTCACCCTCATTTCTTAAGAAGGTAATACTACCAACCATAGTTGCTCCAATTGCCACAAATGCCACCTGGAACAAAAATGTTAAGAAAACTCTCATATTTTGTGGTTGCAAAAGTTACAAAACACATATTCCCTTTGTTACATGCAATAAATTGTCAAAGAAATATAGAGAAAATTAAAAAAGCTAAACATAGGACATAGGTTATATAGTTCAACAGCTATCCAAAGAGATAGAAATCATGAGGTTATAAGCAATAGATTATATAGGTCATTGAAAGCCATCCAAAGACATAGAAGTGATGAGCTTAGTTTTTCTGATGTCAGTATTACGCACCAAAACCAATAATTATCACTGCCACTGGCTGAAAACCTTAGCATATTATCCTTTTAGTGAAAAGCTAACTAATAGTTCATTTTGTACTCTTATGATCTAAAATAGTTAAATTAGTGATGATACACAGCAAATATGATGTTTTTTTTTTTTCAGAAGTAAATGTATGAACTAAGCAGAGTGCCATCCATACTACAGAAAACTTTAAATACAAAACTTTAAATAGTTAAAAATACCTATCAGGTCCTCAAGACTTTAAAAACTTTAAACTATATAACGAGACATGTGCTTCAATAACCAAAACATACAATAGTTCAGGGACAGCATGGTTTTCTGGGGCTCAGGGCTATTAGTTAAAATTTAACAACCATGTCAGGGAAAAATACATCCTTTGAAATGATAGTATCTTGGCTACTTCTAAGAACTTAAAACAAGATATTTAAACGTGAAATCCATATGTAAATGCTTCCTGGTCTGCATAGCAATAAGCCTCAACCATGTAAAATGTTATAGAAAGTTATCAAGTTAATATGTCAGTAGGATTCCAACAAACCTTTCCAAATTCTCTCGTAGAAATAATTGTTGCAATTCGCTTGTTCTCTGTGAAAACATTACAATATTTGCTATTGACAGCAATAGGATTAACCTATGAAATAAAGCAAAAATAAGGCAAATTTTGTAAAAGACCAGGTCAGAAATCAATTCTAGTGGTGAAATTCACACAACAACTAATCCACCCACCGTATATAAGCATCCAGGAATATTTACAAATCTCTCAATTATTCCAGAAACTGGAACATGAAAACGATGATAATCCTGGAAAAGCCAAAGATATATTTTATCAAAAGCACCACAATTAAATTATATATATATATATATATGAGTGTGTGTGTGTTTGAGTGCTTGTATGTATAGACTATACATCTACAAGACAGTAAAGCAAACCAATACCTGTGGTGCCAATCTGAAAATCACCACAGTTCCATCAATAAAGGCATTATAACATGTTTCTTCTCCCAAAAGGCCTAGAATTGAAAACTTTCGCCCCTATAAATTGCAAATAATAATTTTTTATTATTGCAAAAAATCTATAACATATACAACATACTGAACAATGCAAAATGGTAAAAGAAGCTGTCACTCAAATATTCTATACCTTTATTCTTAAGATTATTCTAAGAGTTCAGTAAGGAATGGTCTTATGTTCATATTCTTATCTTTTACTTCTAATTCACAAAATACTGAAGCAGTAAAGACATTCACAGATTTTTCCACATGTGCACTTAGTACTTGCCAAATAGAGTGCTGTTCGACTTGTATCTCTTCAGAATATTTCAACAATCTTTTATAAAGAAATGCAACAGGATAAAATAATAGAAGAGGGTTAGAGAAAAATGTATACACATTGGCCCGAGATTACCTTTTCTCTTTAAAATAAAAATCCAAGATTACCACATTCTTTTCAATCAAAGCATAAAAACAAAAACAATGATCATTTCAGCAACTAATTTCAATCACAGAGGAACAGTGGGAAGAGTATGCCAAAGAATTTATTAATATTTTTATTTTTAGAGCAAATGTTACTCAAGAAGCATAAAAAGGATGGCATCCAACTGGACCGTGAACTGAATTTTGGAGATAGAGAAGCAACATATTGAAAATCAATATCACAAAGATGCTAGTGCTAAAGTGGATGTTGAAACATAGTGAGCATCCGAAAGACGGTAAAGCTGATATCTATTGAGATGAGAAAATATTGTTTGAGATGTGCTTTCATCAAATGCAGACCTATCCAATGCCAGTGCAAGAAGAGTATTTTGCTTTATTGGAAGGGATGAATAGGAAGGAAACCTCAGCCAAAAATGACAAAATCAAAGTATGGTATTACAACAGAATATAACACTTAAAAATTTTTACTCCAATACCAGGATGATCCTTTAGTGTACAATGATTGGGACAAGGTTTATACATTGTTTTGCTTAATTTGAACCATTTTATTAGTTTGGTCTGGTTTTTCAGTATGAACCAAACTACTGGCACCCCTCATCAAGAATATTCAAACTACACCTAGTAACAGTTTATCTCAATATATATATATATATATATATATATATCATACTGAAAACAGAATTGAAATCTCCAATTTTTCTGTAATTGCAGATTTTTACAACTCTCCCTCATTTTATTGTACAAGAGTTTACTAAAAATGGAAAATAAACCAAGTAGCTACACCTAATTAATTACAAAATATACACCTAATTAATCAGCAAAATCAATAACTGATTTTCTGCCATTAAATGTCAATCTCAATCTTATAGCATCTTGGATTTCCTTAGTAATTTTCTATTATTAAATGTGAATCATAAGCACTTGACATATGAGAATTTTCACTCCCCCTCGAGTTGGATTGTAGATATCGGTTTATCCAACTTGCAAAGAAGACTACCACAACTTTCTCAAGGAAGAACTTTGGTAAGGACGTTTGCAATTTGCTCCTTGGTAGGTAATACCTTATTCTACCTTTTTCTTAATGAAATGTCGATCTACTTCCACATTTCTGATTCTATCATATTGTACAGGATTAAGTGAGATACTAATAATCGTTTTGTTGCCACAATAGAGCTTTATCAGCAATTTAGCTTCTACTTGTAACTCCTCCAAAAATTTTTTTAGCCATAGTCCTTCTTAAATTCCCTGTGCCATTGCTCTAAATTATACTTTAGCAGTACTTGTTGTAACCACATTTTGTTTCTTACTCCTCCATGCGACCAAATTCCTCCAAAAAATGTGCAATATCCAGTAGTAAACCTTCTATCTTTTGTGATCATGCCCAATCCACATCTGCAAACACTTCAATTCCTCTAATTTCACTATTCTTAAAGAATAAACATATTC